TCCCATTTTAACTGTACCAGCTTTGGTTCAGCATTGAGCTCCCTCATTCTAAAGTCATTAATCTCTACTGGTATCGATGAGTTTTTTACCTTCTAGCTATTACGTTAAAATAAGAGTGTCCTTTTCCTTGAAGAAGAACTTGACACTCACTTCGGAACAGGTCGTGAATTTTGCTTTCTACCCATTGAATATGGATAGCTCAAATCTCAAACTCAAAACTTTACGCAACAAACTACTCTACATAAAAGCATCTGTTCAGAATTCGAAACAGCAACTGAAGCATCTTTATTGCAGATGTTAATGATGGCTTACCCCTAAAATATTCTTACTTTTTAACTGTAACTCTATGTACCACCGTCAAAGGTTTCTAAGCCTTAAATTAACAGGATACCAACCTCCTCCACCCTGTAATCAAACGTCAGTATCCAGGCAACCATCCAGCTCTGATCATTTCTCCATTGACGTCAAGGAAACTCCATTGTGCGTTCTCCACAATAAGTAAAATCTATCGAACCTCAAACATTGGTATCGGAACGTTGATAACACAACTAAAACCCCTGAGCCAGCTCAGAAGTCGAGAAACAAATATGCTCTAACAGTGGACAGCAATTTGCCAAGCAGTCTTTGTAAATCTGTCTTTAATTTTTAGACTGTAACAATCTAGATCCAGCTCTAATGTACTTTACTACCCTTACCCTCTTGTGCCGAAAAAAATGTTCTCACTATCCTGTATACTAATCAAACATACTCTGCAGGACTGTGTCACGCTGAAAAAATGTATCTCTCTAAATCTTAGAACCTTCCAGATTTAAATAACTTGTTATGGTCGATAGGAATATGCATGTTTGTTTTAGATTCCGTTTCAACATGTGGCAACCATACGTACAATGTACCTTTCTTTCAAATAATTTCTTTCAGATATTCGACGCATGGATTTAAGTCAGATTTCTTTTTGTACTAAATAACATCTTTTGGGATATTTTCGTTCATTGAACTTAAAAGGAGAACGCGGTCGGTATAATCAATGGGGAAACCATAGATCCGTATAGTGCGTTATTTGCTGCACTATTCTACATATATAACCTGTATAATGGAATATATTACCAATGGGAAATAATAGGACAATTAACCATGCCTTGTTGCACTTAACCTATAATACAAATGTATATTCCGTGACCTCTAACGTCGAACCCACCAATGGTGAATCAATAGGGCCGAAAACCGTGTATTGCTGTTCTTTTCTGGTCTCTTCTTAACCGCATTTATGCTACCGGAAGTCAGTGAAAGTGAAAGTAGTATCACATGACAGGGAAGAAAAACAAAGAAGACGTCGACACTGTTTTCTTGAGAGATCGTCTTGCACCATGTACATAAGATATATTTCAAAGATATTAATGTTTTTAACATGCTTTAGTCTTGTTAATTCTGAAAGTGTGCACTCTCCCAGCTTTCCGTGGGACCTTTCTATGGATTATCTGGAAATGCAGCACATGAAACTGAAATATGGATTGACTGGAATACCACCAATAACGAATAGGTCGGCCCCGTATCCTGTTTATGACAATTGTATGGCATACCTTGAAGAGTTTGGGAAATATGCATCAAAATTTATCAAGTGTACCGTTGAGAAAGCAAGACCGTTTCGATTCTGTGAGGAATGTGTGATACACTACAAACTTACAATCGAATTGTATTCAAATATTTTAGAGGTAATGCACACCGATCTATTAATATCAGTGTTAATACTTTTTGTGAATTGGGGAGAAATAAAAAAAGTAAGGTACACTTATTTTAATTAAATTTATTAATATTGGGTTGTAATGGGAAATATAAATATGACTTCACACTATTGACAGTATTTATCTTTGTCTAAATGTAAATAAAATTAAAAGGAGGGAAGAATGAGGATGTACAAACTTTTTTACAAAGATATAAAGGGGTGCAGACCTAATGATATAAGGGGTGCAGACCTAATGATATAAAGAGGTGCAGACTTAATGATATAAAGGGGTGCAGACCTATGTAGAATGCTAATTAAGAATATGTATATCCAAATTATATCGTCATGTCAGATGGAAACAGACTAGCACAACAATTTGCAAATCTGTTATATTAAACCTGCTGCATTATAATATTATACTGCTTAGTATGTACATTGTACATCATGTACGGATGTATATGATTATTTAAGAAATCACAACAGGGAAATACAGTTGTGTGACCGCACAATGCACCAAAAACAGCGTGCGCACACCGTGCATACATCGTTCACACACCGTCCGCACATTGTCCACACATGGTGCACACAACTGTGCGATTTAACAATCGTTCGCCCTGTTGTGCCTGTATGTACGCACAACTGTGTGATTGGATACAATTTGTAGATCAATAGTACGGAATGAAAAAAATACGGAAAGCTCGTATGCAATAATGAAAACTGTATGTATTACTGTAATTTCTCATCACAGTCCTGAAGATTATGTACAGCTTTACAATGCGTGTAACACAGCATTACAGTGATTGTTAGATTAGGTTTGCTCCAAGGTAACAGAACAGGTAAATAACAATTTGATGAATGACCGGAGTTTTACCTGGCCTGTACCTGACACATAGAGCTGATATGCGATACTGTACGTTTAGTATTTGTTATTTGCATTCAGTTTACCTATAGCTCCCCTTTACCTGGGTTTTCACACCTCTGGCCCTACCGGATGAAATACGCAAGCGCCCCGGGCGGGGGAAAACTACGGTCCAGGTGCATGTACAAAGTGGCTATGTTTACCTGTATACGGGACAGTGTTTTAATTTCACATGTGTCGATTAAGGTCGTTTAAAAAATACTGAAAACACAATTTCTTATTTTAAGAAAATATAGACACAAAGATAAGCTTATAGATGTAGGGAGAATATAGAAACATACAAAATGTACGTAAAAATCAAGTTCATTTGTTTTAACACGAAACCGTATATATTAAGGCATTCCTCAATTTACATTAACCACAATTGATATCGCACATCGTTCCTCCATCGTGAACACAAATGTGCGCAAGCAATGATCGTCTAACTTTTTATCGTTCGCACATTGTGCACACACCTTGCACACACATGTGCACATTGTGTAACGTTGTGTGATCCCACAACTGTACCAGATTGGTGATCTTGAGCTGAAACTAACTTGTACATATTTGTACAGGTAGCCTATTTCTGAAAATCAGGTCTGATTCTACTTTTGAAGTATAAATTAATATAATTTCTACAAATTTTCCATCTTCAGACTTGTTTCGTTACTTAATACATGTAGAGTGTACTAGCTGCAGAACTTTGACTTTGTGCTTGTATCATTAATGTCTTTCTTAACTTTATCCCTGAAGATTTTCTAAAGGAAAGAATCATTTAAGTTCAGGAAAACCATAAAGAATTTCTTTTGTAACTTCTGTAATGCTTTTGGAAGGAAAATCTGAAGTCAAAAGATTATATTGTAACTTTTGTGAAATTGGGGCCAGCTATAAGGTTATGAATGGATATCGTTAACATATTGACCCTTTACCAAGTTTAATGTTGGCTGTGATCACTCTGCTAACGCAAGTAGGAAATTTAATATTTCTTGGATTTCTATTCCAGGACGACAAAGACAAAGATGATTGTAAAAGTTTGCTGCTAAATGCTGATCGTATCCAAGTACTTAATGAGATTTACAACAACATAGAACAGATTTGGAAGGAAGCTAACTGTAAAGGTAACAAATGTCATATTCCTGATTCTCATGGTGGTCTCGTCAACCTAAAGACGCATAATAAACTAACTTCATCAACCGACAGAGTAAAGTTCATCAACCTTAGAGATACATTGCATAGTAGGCTGATAAAACTACAAATGCCTCTCACATTGACTGTCAACTTTTATTATCAGCCTATAGATACATTTCATTGCTTAATCTGGATAACATTCATAACATCAACTGTACAGCTAGCTCTCAATATATGCAGTCAGCCCTTCACTAACAAAATCCATGTATGACACTTAGTTAATTTGTGTTGGAAATCAGATAGCAAAAACATTATATTGTATTCAATTAACTGGATAATTTCCTGTTAAAATACATTGTTTGAAATTAATGCTATAACAGCATTTTGGATTTACATCATTGCAAATTCAAGTTTGATTCATATTGGGTGGTTGGCTGGCACAGCGTATTAATACGCTGAGCCTCTACAGTATATATAGTTTCTGTTGCAGTAATTTTGGTTTTAGAACAGCTGTGATTTATGGATGTGTATGTTGGTACTAATTGCTGTAATATTATTACAGGATGTTTCAGAAGTGTGGCTGTAGATGTCAACGGTACAGTTGTCTATAAATACAGCAAAGACACAATGGAATTCATGGACAAATATAAAGTGGTGTCTGCATGTCTGCGCCACAATCAAGCTCATGGGGTAACTATCGCAATTTTGTTTCAAGTCGCTTTCATATAAAATACATACAAATACCATAGCCGGTAAATGAATTTTAAGATGAAACTCTGCCTGCATAATTCAAAATGAAGCCTATTCATAAGCACTACATATAAGTGTCTTCCCGGTCACCTCAACCAAATAAAACACTGTATGTGTGTATACGTATCTATAGATAAAATATGCTGTCAGGTACACTGTATAACCACACAATTGCTATGTACATGTAAATATAATACTGCCGTCCATTTATGAAATAATCAATATGTTTCATTTATAACTCTAGATAACAATTTCATTTCAATAAAGGAATTGGAATCCTTCTATAGCTATTTCTGGGGGTATGTTTAATTCTTTATGCTCTTTATTGATAAAATAGATGTGACCAACTTGTACACTACCTTTATGTTTTACAGGATGGCAACAATAGTGTGTGTGAGGTTTGTCGGGGAAATTACACACAGCTGAATTCTTTCTTCAAGAAAGTGCGAGCAGCTAAAAAAGATTCTGTGTGTATGGATCTTGTGGATATGGTAAGATACTGATTGATTGAATTTGTAAAAGCTATTTTTTTCAGCCAAGTTTTATTGCATTTCATTTGCGCTTGACAATCTTATTATCTTCACAACTTATGAACAAATAATAATTGAGTTATTCATGAGAAGGAAATATATTAAATTTGCTTTTTTAATTGAAAACCATGTTTATGTTTTCAACACTTTTTTCTAAAGAGAAAGTTTTCAATCTTTTAATTTTTTGTGTTATCGTGAGCTGCCTGTGCTGACTAGATTTGTATTTCAGATGAACTACACACGCCTGATGTGGGGTCAGCAGCTTCACTGCTCCCGACACTCCCCTGATGATGCTGTAGTGGTCATTATAGCAGTGGCTCTCCTCGCACTGCCAGTAGTCTTCTATGTTGGAGCCAGGTACTTCGTAGTGAGGACTAAAAGAAAACTGATGCTGCGTACGTATATATATTTGAAGTTTTTCCTAACTTTCATATATTTCTCTCCCAGAACTTTATACTGATATAAAAGCAAAGATGGCCAACCCAACTTGCCTTTTTTTTTTTTTTTAAACATGTGGAAACCTTTTCATTCTCTTCTCAACCTAGCCTATTTAAACCAAACTATATATACAAATGTAGTCCCCTAATAGCTTTAACTAGAGGTTTGGATTTGGGTATTATCAAGATCAAGGGTTTTGTTATCCGAAACCCATAAAAAATATACTCTTTGAACTTTTATTGAGTACATGTACTAAGTATATTGGAGCAATAGTAGATGCGGAGATTGATGGGAGAGCACCTGTCAAAAACTGCTGTGTAAAATACTTTATATAAGGTTTAATGTTATTAGGTAGTGACTTTAGGTAAGGACAAGTAAAGGGAGGTAATTGAGTCTATGGATGCGTATGTATTAAAACACAATGTCTATCACTGATAACTGGTCATGTAACAAATCAACCCTTACAATCAATGTGACAACACAGAATCTGGTGTAGGATGTGAATGAATCATATATAACCTCTCACTACACAATCTGATGTTATATTCAGTCCTTTTTTTATCTTTGTTTTTTATTAGAAAAGAGAATGTCCCAGGTTGCTGCACAGACATTGTTTATTCGAGGAGCTGCCAGCAGTACTAGTAAAGATGATGAGGAAACACAGCTTTTATCTACCTCCTTCTCCTGACAGTGCTGAGAGACTGACCATTACAATACCAGAATGTGTTCACTTGAAAATCACTCCTGCTCTCCTAGAGGTTGTCAGTAACTGTTAAAAGAAAGACTGTCAGAGTTAAATGCATCAATTGTCTACCACCTTCAGCTTTTATATTACAAAAATTAAGAGTTCTTGGGTATGATGGAGCTTGAAAAATTGCATTTTGAAAAGATTTTGCAAATATTTAATGTTGCAGATATATTTCCATTTAATATTGCTAGTCTACAAGCTGCATTTTGAATAGTAGCAAATAATTATCAAATGATAGTATTTTTATGTGTTAAACCTGGACTTGTGAATTTAAAATTAAACATTATTTATTTTACAACAATTGTAAAACAAGTTAAGTATGAACATATATTAATCAGTCTTGTTGCCTGGATGGTAGTGTACAGGGATCTGAATGTGGGAGGAAACCAGCGTACTCTAATTGGTCGAGTAGGTGACTATATGTTTTCATATCAGTCAAGGAACTGAACCCTGAATGCCTTGGTGAAAGGCGAATGCACTATCCGCTGTGCCATCCAACTCCTCTTGTGACATCCTCGATACTCCAGGGGGCTACACTCACTTACGATCTCCCCAGAGTGAGGATAGATTTATAATAATGAGAAGTGACTAGTGAATGGTGAATAGTGACTGGTGAATGATAATTAGTGACTCGTGAATGATAAATAGTGACTCATGAATGATAAATAGTGACTCGTGAATGATAATTAGTGACTTGTGAATGATAATTAGTGACTCGTGAATGATAATTAGTGACTCGTGAATGATAATAAGTAACTCTTTTTCTTTTAGGGAAAAATTAATATTATTATCAACCCGAAAAAAATTGGGGGGGTTATACATGTAGCCGTCATGCAGGGTGTCTGTCCATCTGTCAGTATTTCTCGTTTGGATAAAAATATCTTGTATCAATCAGCATGCCTGTGGTCTTCCTCGTTGAGCTATATTATTAGATACCGGCCATAAATCATGGCAAAGGACCTTGCATCCGAAGAGCCTTTAACATTTTGTATTTAATCAATTTTTGAATCAGATAATAAAACAGCTCTAGACTTATGTGATGGTAAATATGATGTGATATGAACCTGCACTTCAGCTTGGTCAATATCACCTTTTCAGGTCTATATGGCCTTATATGAGAGAGTATGAAACCGTATATACCTGATCATATTCACTTTCACATCAGTCTATAACTGTATAGTGACTGGTGTGTTGGGTGCTGAAGGGTGAATGTACATTAGTGAAAGATGTTTATTGGTTGTAAGTGATGGACATTGAGTAAAGGATGTTTTGAATGAGAAAATGAAGAGTCCCTTGTTTACATTTAAGTTAGATTTAATTACTTAACATACATTTGCATTGCTTTTAATCTGTACATATTTGAGAGATAAACACACTGGAAAATTAGAAACTCTAATCTCATTTCTCCTTCATAGAAAATTATCATATGCTACTGCTATTAATTAATATAAGGTCTATACTACAATTCTATCTTTTATATTCATTTCACATGTCCTACATACCTTCTGTTTCATTTACTACAGCCCTGTTAATATCAATATGGTATGGTGCTATGTTTAAAACATGTAATTACATAAACTTGTTAACAATTGTGATTAGAAGTTTGTATCAATTCATCTCTGATAGAATTATAAGACTATTTCATGCCAAAGGGTGTAGGATAGGGAAATTCTATTCGAGATATTTTCAAATTGTTTTATCCAATTTGAAAGTCATGAGGGTGACATTTTTCTATCCCACACCCTGGGGCATGAAAGATCATCTCTCACTCATTCCACTTATCACTAAAATCAGCTCAGAAACCACAAAAAGGTTACAGCACCATGCATCAAAATGTTTCCCATTTTGGGACATCACATCCCGTTTGTCCCATTTTCACATCACACACCTTAAATGGGGTGTAGGATAGAAAGTTTTTTCACCCTTTTGTTACCCTGGGTAGTTATGTCACATACACACAGGAATGAAAGAAAACAGCCATAGCACCAACACAATGCTGATTATGTACTTTGAGAAATTCCTGTAGGCTCAGTCACTGGTGGAGCCTAAGCCCTGTTTCCACATTCTGATTACAATAAAATATTCTCATATCCTATAGAAATAAGATAGTGTAATCACCATGACATGTATTTTAAAAACATATTTCCACTGTTGGCACATTATTATGGAGCTTTCCTGTGATATATATTATTTAAATTAAATGTTTTGTTTATCTCATGAAATAGAGTAAGAAATGATTTGTTTATTTCAGTTTCACATTTATTCATACTGTACATGTACACCTGTGTGTCTCTTAACAGAATATACTTTAACAATCGTCCAATACATGTGACAGTACCTAACTTTGTATATGATGTGTTTTCTGTCTGAAATATGTAAAATAAAGTAAGGAAACGTTTTTATGTGTTGATTTCGATCTGATGCATTAGCAGTGATTATGATTTAAACCAAAACATCATGTTTGTTTTGGTTCTAGTATAATGATCCAGTATATACATATTGTACAACTGAGTAGGGTAGGGGCTGAACAATATACGTCCATTATATGCCAAAGTAACATGCCAAGAATCCTCCCAATTCATTCTTGTATCAAAATGTATGAACACATAAAATGTAATAAAAAGAAAGTACATTTGTACTACATTACTCTGTAAATGACTTATTTCTGAGATATGGTGAGAGCACAGGTACTAGCCTCGTCTCTCAGTACACCTATAAGATTATAGTATAGGTGTATTGACAGACCAGGCTAGTACCTGTGGTGAGAGGACAGGTACTAGCCTCGTCTCTCAGTACACCTATAAGATGATAGTATAGGTGTATTGACAGACCAGGCTAGTACCTGTGGTGAGAAGACAGGTACTAGCCTCCTCTGTCAGTACACCTATAAGATTAAAGTATAGGTATATTGACAGACCAGGCTATAGTACCTGTGGTGAGAGGACAGGTACTAGCCTCGTCTGTCAGTACACCAATAAGATTATAGTATAGGTGCATTGACAGACCAGGCTAGTACCTGTGGTGAGAAGACAGGTACTAGCCTCCTCTGTCAGTACACCTATAAGATTATAGTATAGGTATATTGACAGACCAGGCTAGTACCTGGGGTTAGAGGACAGGTACTAGCCTTGTCTGTCAGTAAACCTATAAGATTATAGTATAGGTGTATTGACAGACCAGGCTAGTACCTGGGGTGAGAGGACAGGTACTAGCCTCGTCTGTCAGTACACCTATACGATTATAGTCTAGGTGTATTGACATACCAGGCTAGTACCTGTGGTGAGAGGACAGGTACTAGCCTCGTCTTGCAATACACCTATAAGATTATAGTATAGGTGGATTGACAGACCAGGCTAGTACCTGTGGTGAGAGCACAGGTTCTAGCCTCGTCTGTCAGTACACCTATAAGATCTCTCAGTACACCTATAAGATGATAGTATAGGTGTATTAACAGACCAGGCTAGTACCTGTGGTGAGAGGACAGGTACTAGCCTTTTCTGTCAGTACACCTATAAGATTATATTATAGGTGTATTGACAGCCCAGGCTAGTTCCTGTGGTGAGAGGACAGGTACTAGCCTCGTCTTGCAATACACCTATAAGATTATAGTATAGGTGTATTGACAGACCAGGCTAGTCCCTGTGGTGACAGGACAGGTACTAGCCTCGTCTGTCAATACACCTATAAGATTATAGTATATGTGTATTGACAGACCAGGCTAGTGCCTGTAGTGAGAGGACAGGTACTAGCCTTGTCTGTCAGGACACCTATAAGATTATATTATAGGTGTATTGCCAGACCAGGCTAGTACCTGTGGTGAGAGGACAGGGACTAGCCTCGTCTGTCAGTACCCCTATAAGATTATAGTTTAGGTGTATTGACAGACCAGACTAGTACCTGTGGTGAGAGGACAGGTACTAGCCTCGTCTTGCAATACACCTATAAGATTATAGTATAGGTGTAATGACAGACTAGGCTAGTCCCTGTGGTGAGAGGACAGGTACTAGCCTCGTCTTGCAATACACCTATAAGATTATAGTATAGGTGTAATGACAGACTAGGCTAGTGCCTGTGGGGAGAGGACAGGTACTAGCCTCGTCTGTCAATACACCTATAAGATTATAGTAAAGGTATATTGACAGCCCAGGCTAGTACCTGTAGTGAGAGGACAGGTACTAGCCTTGTCTGTCAGGACACCTATAAGATTATATTATAGGTGTATTGCCAGACCAGGCTAGTACCTGTGGTGAGAGGACAGGGACTAGCCTCGTCTGTCAGTACCCCTATAAGATTATAGTTTAGGTGTATTGACAGACCAGGTTAGTACCTGTGGTGAGAGGACAGGTACTAGCCTCGTCTTGCAATACACCTATAAGATTATAGTATAGGTGTATTGACAGCCCAGGCTAGTACCTGTGGTGAGAAGACAGGTCCTAGCCTCCTCTGTCAGTACACCTATAAGATTATAGTATAGGTATATTGCCAGACCAGGCTAGTACCTGTGGTGAGAGGACAGGCACTAGCCTCGTCTCTCAGTACACCTATAAGATGATAGTATAGGTGTATTAACAGACCAGGCTAGTACCTGTGGTGAGAGGACAGGCACTAGCCTCGTCTCTCAGTACACCTATAAGATGATAGTATAGGTGTATTGACAGACCAGGCTAGTACCTGTGGAGAGAGGACAGGTACTAGCCTCTACTGTCAGTACACCTATACGATTATAGTATAGGTGTATTGACATACCAGGCTAGTACCTGTGGTGAGAGGACAGGTACTAGCCTCGTCTGTCAATACACCTATAAGATTATAGTATAGGTGTATTGACAGACCAGACTAGTACCTGTGGGGAGAGGTCAGGGACTAGCCTCGTCTGTCAGTACACCTATAAGATCTCTCAGTACACCTATAAGATGATAGTATAGGTGTATTAACAGACCAGGCTAGTACCTGTGGTGAGAGGAGAGGGACTAGCCTCGTCTGTCAGTACACCTATAAGATTATAGTATAGGTGGATTGGCAGACCAGGCTAATACCTGTGGTGAGAGGACAGGTACTAGCCTTGTCTGTAAATACACCTATAAGATTATAGTATAGGTGTAATGACAGACTAGGCTAGTGCCTGTGGTGAGAGGACAGGTACTAGCCTCGTCTGTCACTACACCTATACGATTATAGTATAGGTGTATTTACAGACAAGGCTAGTCCCTGTCCTCTCACCACAGGCATTAGCCTGGTCTGCCAATCCACCTATACTATAATCTTATGGGTGTATTTACAGACGAGGCTAGTACCTGCCCTCTCACCACAGGTACTAGCCTCGTCTTGCAATACACCTATAAGATTATAGTTTAGGTGTATTGACAGACCAGGCTAGTACTGTGGTGAGGGGACAGGTACTAGCCTCGTCTGTCAGTACACCTATAAGATTATAGCATAGGTGTATTGACAGACCAGGCTAGTACCTGTGGTGAGGGGACAGGTACTAGCCTCGTCTGTCAGTCCACCTATAAGATTATAGTATAGGTGTATTGACAGACCAGGCTAGTGCCTGTGGTGAGAGGACAAAACATTGTACTCCACCAGCTCATCATATCATAATATATGTCCAGTTGTACACCGGTCAGTCATTTTGAGGGACATATATATATATAATTACACCTGCACTCTGCCAGAGATGCTGGTTCGGTGCCGTATCGTAGTGACTGTGTATATATGAAATCATGGTGATTTGTGCCATGCTCATTTTGGTATGTCTCTAAAAAGTCTATCTGTGATCGAATATCAAGAAGTTAAGTTAACGTAAGTATTTCCTATAAGAATGTTTGAAATCATAAACATACTGGATAATGAAAATATGCCCCACTTAAAGTGTGGATATGAAACAGGTGGTCAAGAAGCATCAACTGCTTAAAAACAGATCAGAGACATATAAAGTATATACGTCTCTGAAAAGATCGAGGATCAGGTAAATCAGGAAAATACTGATAACATTTTGACAAGTCAAATGAAAGGAAGTCTACACCCCAGACTAACGGGGCAGGATCGTGCACCGGATATCTTCTGTGTAAGTCAGATTTACGACACGCTACATTGTATTTGTTATTTTGTTCCAAACCAAACTAAGGTACCACATGTAGTACTCGTTCACATATACTATAGTTTACACAATATTATATATTGTTAAGGGGTTAGAAATATACACTGACGCTTATTTAAGTCATAGCGACCCTCTGTACATAACGGTCCACGATCACGTGTGGTTTCATAGATCCTTTGATCGGTCGTTATACACAGGTATCCCTGTGTTTTAGTTTCATTTGACATACCAATAACACCATACAATAACAGTAATATCAATCGTTATACAAAGGTGTTCAAGTGGTAAAAAAATCATTTGACATACCGATAATACCATTGCACAAAATCGATAACATTTACTAAAACATTAAACATTAGATCGTTCGCTATACACAGGTGTCCCTGTGTTTTAGTTTCATTTGACATACCCGTAGCAACACAGAATAAAACATTAGGATCTGTCGCTATACACAGGTGTCCCTGTGTTTTAGTTTCATTTGACATACCCATAGCAACACGGAATAAAACATTAGGATCTGTCGCTATATACATGTGTCCCTGTGCTCGAAGTACATTAGAAATGCCAATGTCATGTACTAGAGTATTAGGATTTACGTGTACCAATAGATTGTACACAAAAACAACATGATGTCTAATAAAACAGTATTATGTAGGTACACTGAGAAAATAAATACATCACATGTGTGGTGTATGCGCCACTAGTGCACTTGCAATCATCAACCAGATTATCCACAAATTTATCATACGTTTAATCACTTGCCATAGTTTCTTTAACATTGAACAACATTGTGATTTCTTGGGTTACAATTCATGAAAGTGTCGCACCTTAGTCGAAGAAAAGCAGTAAGTTTAGTTTTAAAACTAAAAGAGTTTCTTATACAGGCATCCAGAGAGTTCCAGTTATTCAAGTAGAGAAGAAGATACCGTAACTACAAAGAATCAGAGATTCTGAGTCGATTATACAGGCCATGTACAAATGTTTGGCTAATAATCTTAGACGACAGCTGTAGCGGAATTAGACTTGTGTCGTTAGAGCTTCGGTCTAGAGTTTGGATGGTCCCGGGTTCGAATCCCGGTTTGATCGTGCATTTCTCTACTCCTGTTACTAAAGTGGTGCCGTGACCAACCATTGTTACACGTTCTGTGTGTATGCGTGTGGAGGAGATACCCGAACCTGTAAATAGTAGTGTCTTCAGGGGCGAAGGCTTAGAAACTAGCTAAAGTCTGGGTCGTTCGACAGCTATACCGGGTAGCTCATTTGGTTGAACACCGTACGCGTCCGTCTAGTGATCGGATGGTCCTGGCTTCCAATCCCGGTCATCTCCTGTTACAGCTGCGCGACTTACGTAATGTAATAAATGCCCTATCCTACATAAATCGCTATTGTTTTTGAAGTTTCGCCTTGTTTATCGTGAATTTTAAGTATCGTCAAAGAATCCTTTCTTGGTGAGATCTAACATTTGATAGCGTCACACCTATGAAATATTGTGACGTCATGTCAATTATTGGCCCATGACGTCATGTTGCTATGTAAACACATAAACTTGTTTGCGGGAGAAAGAAAAGAGGTGAGTGAATTACCATTACTCTTGCTTGAACGATTCTTTTCATTCGATGGATTCAAAAATCAGTATTCCTTTACAAGCAAATTTGTAAATGTTAATTAAACTATATAAACTTTCCGTATGTTATGCCACAGTTGATATCAAGGGTTGACTACCATACAACAATGGGCAGTTTTTCTGATGGATCCAGTCAAAACAAGATGTCGCTCCTTCTCAGAGGCTGTTTTGGTTGCCGTCGGAAGTCAAGCGAACTGTCTGAGAAGAAAACTAAAAAAGCCAGGTTATCTCTGATCAATCGCCTGAGGATACGGTGCTTACAAAGAACTGATGCATCTGAAACAGATGTCTGCAAAGTTACGAAAGAAAAGAATAGTGTTTTGTCCAGAGCCAGGGAAGGCATGAATTGGCCTCTGTTAAGAATGACAGAGCGGTGTACTATTTTTCTCAGAAATTTCCACATGAACTGGCGGTACTTCCAAGCGTTAAAGTCCGAAGGCCTCCTAGTGACGATTGCTTCATCAGTGGCATCGCCTGTTCTCAACATAGCATGGCTCTTCACGGACGGTGAAATAACGAACACCCGTCAGTCATTTCACTCATCGCACCAGAAATCCAACTGGGACGTCGTTATTTATACGGGGATTACGGTGGAAATGAAAGCCAACTTTAACTACGATCACGTCAACGAGCCAATATTAGACGGTTTACCCTGCTCGTATTGGCTGGAGATGATCGAGCCGACCATCCCCATTATATTGGATCTGTTTTCAATGAGGCACAGAAAGACTAACTTGAGCAGACTAAGGTAGTATTTACTGAACCATGTAACTCTAGAAGTTAGTTTGTCTATGTAACGCTGCAAACATTGTAACCTGTCTATACCGAATACGAAGTGTAGAACACTTTTCCAGAAAACAAGACACGGGGACATGGTCTCCAAAATAAAGACTGTCTGTACCGTACTAAAGTTATAGAACACTTGTCCAGTACAAGATACGGGAAAGGGGTATCCAAAACATTCACTGTCTATACCGGACACAAGTTATAGAACACTTGTCCAGGAAACAAGATACGAGGAAGGGGGTCTCCAAAATATAGACTCTCTATACCGGAAACAAGTTATAGAACACTTGTCCAGTACAAGATACGGGAAGGAGGGTGTCCAAAGTATAAACTGTCTATACCGGACACGAGTTATAGAACACTTGCCCAGTATACAAGACACGGGGAAGGGGGTCTCCAAATTAAAGACTATTAACCGGACACGAGTTATAGAACACTTGTCCAGTACAAGATACGGGAAAGAGGGTGTCCAAAATATAGACTGTCTATACCGGACACGAGTTATAGAACACTTGCCCAGTATACAAGACACGGGGAAGGGGGTCTCCAAAATAAAGACTATTAACCGGACACGAGTTATAGAACACTTGTCCAGTATACAAGACACTGGGAAGGGGGTCTCCAAAACATAAACTGTCTATACCGGACACAAGTTATAGACACTTTTTCAATATAAAAGATACGCGAAAGGAAGTGTCTGAATTCGTGTCCAGTATAGTAGACAACGGGTAAGGAATTGTCTGTATTCGTGTCCAGTATAGTAGACAACGGGTAAGGAATTGTCTGAATTCGTGTCCAGTATAGTAGACAACGGGTAAGGAATTGTCTGAATTCGTGTCCAGTATAGTAGACAACGGGTAAGGAATTGTCTGAATTCGTGTCCAGTATAGTAGACAACGGGTAAGGAATTGTCTGAATTCGTGTCCATTATACTAGTCAACGGGAAAGGAAGTGTCTGAATTCGTGTCCAGTATACTTAGACAACGAGAAAGGAAGTGTCTGAATTCGTGTCTAGTATACTTAGACAACGGGGAAGTATCTAAATCCGGACCCAGCATCCAGTATGTTTAATACTGATTTACATGTACACAACGGGACAGTCTCCAATATATAACCTGTCTATACCTGACGTGAGTTACTAGAATTACGGAAGCAAAGATATAAATAGAATCCATCCCTAATGTAAAGAGTCACTTCGTTTTGCGGTCTAGACATAGATAGATACATTTGTTAATCTAATCTAAACTGAAATGTAATTTAAAAAGTACAAAAGAACATTTCTATAGCACAAAATAAGTGTCATGTTTTATATAAATTACAAATACAGCTGTATCAAATTCTCATGTGCCTGTGGTTTCATTGACAGATTTACATTTTTGTGTTATATGAATGATATACAGTAGGTCTGCCAATCAAGGGATATATAAGCTTACTTCGAAGTGTGTTAAATGTATTGCAGGGCCTTTGAGTATATATATGAAGACTTCATGACCCGCCATGGAGATACATTTACGGACCAACTTGATCCGAATATGCAAGGCCCCCATCAGTTGCTGGTGAACCGGATACACAACACGCCTTTCCCGACCATGGAACTCGGCACCACGGCTGCCTTAGTGCACAATGCCATGATCAACAGGGAACGTCAATTTCAGGTACGCTAGTTGTGAGGGCATACATTGATTACCTACATGTACGTGTGTGGTCCAACACATACTGTATATATAATACAAACGTCATGTGGGCAATATAGTTATTTAGTGCGACATGTGTGTAAGCATGTAATAGGACTGGACTGCCAAAGCCCTGCCGTCAACCCTGGTTCGATGTGGTTGACCTTTGGCTTCTGTGATCAAGCACTCAATAAATACCGTAAGAACACTCAACGCAATGTATATTTATACCCTTCGATTTTATTTATTTACACCCAAATATTCCTTATATCACTAAAACATAAACTAAACGAAACAAGCTACCAGCGAATCAATGCTACCGCAGTAGGGTCAAAGGCATATCGTTTTCGTTACACATATGTTCATTCTTCAGATACACATTCAGTAAATGAATAGTATATCGGTCATTTGCACACGTGTTTTAAAATTAGGTCAAGGAGTCATATACCATTCATAATCTTTACTATTTTTGTTATTACATTACAGTATTCCATACTTCATTGCAGAAATGATACTCTCCAAAATATATAATTCAGATATATTATCCTCCATTACACAAAATTGTAATATACATTGTAATACACATAATCCCCAAGTAACAGGAGAAGCAACTCTGAAACATCCCTTTACAAGCACACACTACTATCTATGTTCAGGCACGTCGCTGTGTGGATATACAATGTATGTATGACGTATTGACTATCAGGCACCACACGTGTTTTTTCATATGTGGTGAATTGATCTTGGCGCGACACATCTGTGTACATGTATACATTGTCAATATTTTCAGGCAGCATTTCAGATGTTCCTTGAAACTTGACAGAGAGGGTCACACAATGCTTTTCGGCTTCTAATAAAATATGCTGTAAAATTATGTTTTCGCACTATGCCCAAGATTTCGTCCTGCACATCTGTGGATAAATATATGCTAACATAACTTCAGGCATCACACTTGTGTGAAAATGCACTGCACACCTATGTAGACATACACTGTGCATAATTTTATCCATTTATACATTACACTGTACATAACTTCAAGAATTAACAAAAAAACGTTAACGAATTAGATTCGAGGAAACTATTTAAATACAGATAGAATCCAAACATCTTTAAACCTGACTAAGACATTGACATTTAACATCACACATTTTGATGAAAACAAAATCATTGTGATCAACTTGAAACGTGGATTGGGGTTTGGAGTGTAAGGTATGACTCTCCCTATACTTGATAATATTTTAAAACAAATAGGCTAGTAGAACAACAGCAATGACAAGGACACTTGATTATAGGATCTTTCTCTGTTTTCAAGGAACCGTTCAGGTGTCGGAGACCTAACCATCGGAGCCGCTGTACCACGAGACCCCGTCCAGTGTCTATACTATCACGACGAGGCTGCACGCCCGAGTTGGTGCAAGACATTGTTCCTAATCCAAATGGTTCTATTACTACCCAGAACTCAACAGGGCTTGTGGCCGACCCGGACTGTACTGACAGTCTGGAAAATCGTGATCCCAATTGGTATGTGCCGGTTATTCTACAACTTGCCGCATGTTCCCAGCTACAATTTCCAGACGGCTGCAGTTACAGGTCTGACGATGATGATATCTCCGAGTGTTCGGAAACTGACGTTGTGTGTTCTCAAGGACAATTTCTCGACGTCAATGACACAGGTTGCGATAATAATATTGTCGGACGTTCGGGCATGAGTGATGTATGTTTCCCAACAAAATCCCACAGCGTCACGTTTGATGATGATATCGCTGGATGTTCAAGCATGGGGGTCGAGCCATGCAGCTCCGAGGAGAATATCATCGGTTTCCTTATTTGCAAAAGCGAAATAAACGAGGTGTTTACTACAGCAGATGACACTAGTGGAAGATCTGGGACACTCAGTGCGGTGGTTGATGAAGGAGACATCGATGAGTATGTAGATTTGATTTTGGAGAAAGCAGTTACATCCATTGGCTCGATTCAAGGGAGATTGGAAAACGCCCATGATTTGCCACCATGTTATTCAAGTTCGATTGACACCACAGAGCCTATTCCAATGGCAGTTCCTCGGTCACCAAGCAACATTGTCTTTGGTTCAGGTGAAACTTGCCTTTCCACACGAGATATGGAGGAACAAAGTATCCCGTGCAGTCCCTGTCCACATCTTTATCATGATGAATGTGTCATCGATGAGATAGCATTAATGAACTTGAACCAATCATCTTCCAATTATAAATACATTGGTCATCCTGAACGTTGTATGATAGACGCATGTTTGAGAAATACCAAACAGATAATCCCCATGTTCCATCCAAACCAGCACTGCTCAAAGCCAACATTCTCAGCAGGGAAAGGAGGAACTGCTGTACCAAACACTAGGTGTTTTCCTGAAGACTGTTTGAGTGTGAAACTCGCAATGCTGAATACTAACCAGTCCGCCCTGAGCCACCATACACAGCACCGGTTCAGAAACAGATGTGAACATTCCCCAGATACGTGGTTTTATCATGCAAACGAAAATGTTTACAAGCCTGAAACACTCCGCCCAGATTCATCGGATTTACGATTTCGGAAGGCGTCGATTCATTTGTATATCAAAGAAATGACAGATGCCAACATATGCAATCCAAAGGCACCAGAAATAATAAGGACCTTTGAAGGCAGCAGAGGCCCCCTTGGTCGAAGGTTCTTTGTAAACTGTGCGACTGAATTGCTGAATGAAATCGATAAGAAAGAGTCTACACGGTGGATACCAACTAAGAAGCAACGGTGGGAATTTAGGGTAGGTATAAACAATTTAACAATCGTGTGTCTGAAAAGAATCGTTCAGATAAGATTGGTAAGTTTTAACTTTAATCAACCAAAAGCTGTACATAAATTATAGCGTTAATTGATTTGGCTTCTGTAGTTCAATTTAGAATCCAGCTGCAAATTTCTGCTCTTCTGGAATCAATGATTGATATTGGATACTGTATGACTGATAAAAGGAATTTGACTGGATTGTATCATTTCACATTAATACGAATGTCACCTTTATTCATAGTATGTAAGCCAGGTACATGCATATCATGTTTGGTTCATCCGTACTATCGTTTGAATATTTTAAATAAGTATTTTTCATATTTCACGTAAGTATATCGATTGTGATAGTTTATTGCATTTCAACTGTCAATAATAGATTCTCTGTACATAAAAGTACTGTATCTTCAAAGTTTCAAAATTTAATTCCAGAACCGTTCTGAAGTGTCTGTAGCTCTTGTAGAGGAGGCAGCTAATACCGAGCCCGAATTACCAAACAGACAACGAATTCCAGTGTTTGAAACAACGCAAAGAAAACACACAATTGTCGAAGGCGAACGAAGAAAAGTTGTCCCAAAGAAAAAACGAAAGACCAAGCGGCGAAACACGTTTCATGTTTCCAAGAGTAAAGATAAGAAGGAAACGTCTAGACTTGCGGAAGATTCAACCGAGGACACTGATGCTGATCTACCTGGAAATCACCTTCGCTCGCGAGGAGACGAGTCGCAAGGATCAATATTCCCTTTTTCAGAAAATTGCACAACAACGAAAGAAACAAATCCCGTATGTGACAAAGAGAAAGGTAAATGTGATTTTAGTGAAAAGACACATTCCGCTGAATATGAACATTCGGAAGAATTATGGAAGCAGCATATAAAAAGCCAAAACAAATCATGCAATACAGCCGAAAAAGTAGTCGAACTCGGCAAACATATCGAAGCGGGCGTTTGCAACAAAGTCCATGGTAATAGAACATCCACGCCATATCCTACCAGCATCAGATATACGCGAAGCGCAGATTCGCAACGAAATGGGCGAGCAAATGTTGCTGGGGGTAGTAGGAGTGGTGACAAATCACAAGTTTCACGTACGGATCAATTAAGAGAAGGAAGAAACATAAAAGTAAATACTAGTCATCACAGTTACATTGGTAATAATTCAACTCTTCATCGTAGATCACACTCGCAGAACATTACATCCACAGTGCAGTGCGGCGCGGCAGGTTACCAATCCCGAGCCAGCAAGCAAAATTTGTCATATTCTAAACGAAGCCGTCAGCCTCAAAGTAAAAGAGAGACTTCCAGCGAATATACCACTCAAGATGTGACTAGCAACAGAAGTGTGTCAACGAAGGAACAAAGATATGATCTACACTCACAGAGAATATACGTGGGGGAGAATGAAGAAGTAAGCTCCATCAATGTGCAACCATCGGATTCTACAGATCAAACAAAGCATCTGCTGAAAAATTCTTTGGCGTGTACAGATGATTCTGACGCCAATAAAAACGGCATACAGCATAGAAAATGTCCATCCTTTCATGGGAGTCAACGACCCATTGACCGCCAGAAAAAGTATGTGTCTTCTGCAAACGACGCAGATTCAAGCTCAAGCAATTGCAAAGATGAACCAAAAAAGAAATCCAAAGTTCGTTGCAGAAAGCAAAAGACCAATACTGTTCAGAGAAAGCTAGCAGTTGTTGCCACGGGAACAGGCTTGTATGATCATTGCAACAGCAGCTGTTTTCTAAGCAGTGAATCAAAACAGATTCTTGCTAATCTAAGACATAATCAAAAACCTAAACTACTAAAGTCGGATGAAGGAACTTTGAGTTCAGAGAATGGCAGCCGTCAGTCTTTAGATGAAAATAGTGAGGCAACACCAATTCCGACGATGGGCAGGAGCCAAGACGTCCAAAACAATACGGATCAACCAAAGAACACCGTTAATTGGTCATTGAGCGAAACTGAAGGGTCTCCGTCATCGTATTACGGTGAAGAAACTGACTACGATGATGCGTATTGCATGGATGCAAGAGAGCAGACCAATGCACCGAGTAAGTCATTAGAGAAGAGTGATTGTAAAGATGCTGCTGACGAAGACCGCATAGGATACAGCAGTTCAATCGAATGGAATGACTCATGCTGGACTGAAGAGGAGGATTTCAGCTACGACACTGATGTCTCCAGCTCCGATAGCCTCCTTGGCGACGAAGGGTACGTCATAGTCAATTTGTCTGACACTTTCCATAGTGATAGTAGTTCACGCTTGGAAAGTTACACCAGCCAATACACTGTCCGTTCAGGTCACTGGGAGAACAGACAAGGATCAGGTTCATTCTCGTCCGATTGCTCCTTGGAATATTCGTCAGCTGAACAAAACGATTCTACAACTATAAAGAGTCCTTCCTTGTGCTACAAAAGCACTGGACAATACTTTTATAAGAACTCGGATGCGTCTTTACACTCCGTGGCGCATAACAGTACTTCTGTTGTTTATATAAGAGATCGTGTCAATGAAAAACATTCAACTGATGATGAATCATTAGCGTTTGCTGAGCAGAAGGAACATCTTGATTCCGACGGGATTGTCAGTAATGAAGAAGTTGATCAAGACAGTATCATCAAACAAGTGAACCGTGAAAAGAAAAGTATAACTCGAGCTAAACAAGATCATATCCCATTCAAATATCTGCAAATCAGCGAAGGAACATCAACACCATCAGTACATGATGATCAAAACGAGTGCACTTCCAGTGAAACTGATGTTCAAGACCATGCTCAAGACAAGTGTATGTCTGGATATATGTCATGCAGTGGTAACATGGAGGAACCCCTTGAGTCATCTGCAGATATACAAGAAAATAGTAGTGCAAGCGATTCAAACAGTGATGAAAGGCCCGTTAAATTACGGGACCAACAGGTACGCCGGTTTTATGATGTTGGTGACTGGGTCACTTCCGTGGACGCGGTCAGACGTCATCGAGAATCGAGGCGCCAGAGGGGGATCCTTCAGTACCAATGGAACGGAATGTATGTGATTTCTCGCATGTATGATAACCCAGTAGGACAGAGAATACGCCAGCAAAGGGGACAGTTCCGGGCGTGGTTAGATCGCCGTCAATCGAGATAGATATCAAATAATATGTTTAGTTTAGTTTTTTCGCCAAAAGTTAGTCTTCCATTGATCAGTCTTCTAATGTGTAAGTGATATAATTCGTTTAACACGTTTATCTTCAGAAGGATGCTCGCGTTATTTTAATGTTTTACTACTAGGCCAAATTCAGTGATTATAATAGTAAATTACGATAATATACACTTTTGAATTTTCGACAACTGGTGAGCCACCGAATCATGTATTTCAAATAGCTGATTCTCGCCCTCTGATCTCCACATTGGTACATGTATCATCTTTTACACAATTGTGTTTTGAATAAAAAAAAACCCTGACAATATGTCTTTGTCTGTTATTTATACTATACGTAACCCCCCCCCCCCCCCCCCCAAAAAAAAAGCAACAAAAAAACCCCCCGCAAAACACGATTCCAGGATTCCTGCATCACTGCCAGAAACTGTCACTTTATTTTTTTTACGCCATCGACCTCGGAAATGTTCAACGTTAGTACCTGTACCAAATCACACTTCAGTTTTATCTACAGCAAAACCAACGGACAATAACAATGTGAAAAATATACTGATATAGTGTTTTGCCTGCAATGGAACGGGGATCCTTGATCCTTAATTTATAGACACGTGCTTGTTAATATGTTGATCTGCGTTAGAGTGAAGGTATATGCTACATTAAGCATTATACTTGTGATTTCTTTTAGAGTTAAGATATTAAGTTAAGTTAAGTTAATATTACTTCATGTGCCTTATATACATTTGTATTATTTCGATGATTTGTAATAGAGCTACCCTTTAAGAACATTTTCATATCAATGATGTTAACATTTTATTTTGCGGAAACAAAAACATTTACTAAGTCCTGATATTTTAGGCTTTTAAATTAAAGGAGGGATTATGCTAGATTTGAATAAGAACAGAAGTCTCAAAAAGAAGCTAAACATATTGTAACGGAACTTCCATCAAAATATGAAATCTACAACATAAGATGCGTAACCAATTCGCTTCTGGTTACATAGAAATAACTTCTGGTTACATAGAAATAACTTCTGGTTACATAGAATAATTTCTGGTTACATAGACATAGCTTCAATTCTGCTGTCTGATATTGGAGAAAATAATTAACAATAATGACTGATTCTTCCACTAAGATTGTTTCTCTTGTCATTTTTTAAAATGGCTTTCTACTCTTCATAGTTATAATGCCTTAGATAACTCAATACGAACACCACCTTCAGCTATTCTTTCAATACTTCATAAACTAAAAGTATCCATCCATCCCCGTGTTTCCAGTAATTTGATCATTTCCTTGCACAAGGGTCAGACACCAGTGTTGATTCCTTGTTTTGACGTTTTTGGAGTTAGTTTGTTTTACTAGCTTGTAATAGTGAACAAACATGGGACTCTTATACATATAGAATATGTATTCAGTTGAAAAATTTGAATAATTTGATTGTTGAGTGAGCTAGACAATTTGTTAGTGTTTTTTCTCTCTCAGAAATTCACGGCTTTCGGTAGACCTTATACAAACTGCAATAGACATATGGTCTCCAGTGTAAATTTAGATTTTGATTTTGAGCTCTAGTAATGGTTTCATTGACACACAGGTATTCTATCGTTGTGCATGTGTTTCTGATTGGATATGACAACTGCGGCTCTAACTTAAGTTTTCTTTCGCCAAGTTTGTTCCTATTCTTGCGACGATGTTAATGCATTCTCACGCGTAGGTCTCATTGTCTTTCCCATCTACCCTTCAAAAAAAAAAAAAACCCAGAAAACTGGTTTCAATAAGAGTAATCAGTTTGGAAATACGTAATATCAAAGTTTTACTTTATAGACAAACAATGTTCGTATTAAACGTATCGCAACGTTTCACGACCGACTGGTGCCTTTCACTTTGTCAAGCTATGCGTACATTGTTTGTGTAGAAAGTAAAACTTTGATACCCCAGAAAACTTGTAAAAGGTATCGGTTAACAAAGCATCTTGGCAAAACACAAATATATCTCCGGCTGTACTCTGGCCAGACATGCCATAACAGTCTAGACACATGATACGTTTATTATTCTTTTATCAATATTGATCCACCCCTCCCCGATATTGATTTATTTATATACTATTGATGACAATTTTTTTCGCTTGGGTTTTGTTGTTTCCTCTTCCTCTATTTTCCTACACTTCGTCGATATATTAAACCTAGTATTAATTTCGCTTTTGCGAAGATATTTTAAAAACCCTTAACAAAATCCACCCCTCCCCAATTCCTTTCTCCTGTGAAACAGCTATACTGCTCATGTGTTCAAGATACAGTTCCATTTTTTTCTTCTTTCAGACGTTATAAAATGAATTTTTAAGCCTGTAATTAGCATACAGCAAGACATAAAATGTCAAATCACTCACTATACTCTAGATTTACAGAAAAACGAGTGATCTTCGAAACTCAGAAGTTTTGCTTTGATAGATTTTTTCTTCTTTTCTGCGCCCTTAGAAAGCCCGGTCCAAATAAAACCTCTGAATCCGCCACTGGTAAGGTAATTGATTTGAGATTTCCAATGAGTTAGGCTGCAGTGTGAGAATGAAATAGGCTTATATATTGTATAATGTCACACGTACAATTTCGAAAATAAAATCAGTGATTTTTTTTTTTTACCTTGCAGTTTCAAACGAATGTGATGTATATTTTGTATCTGAGACTACACAATCAATTGTACCTATCTTCAAATAATTAAAATAGGTACAAATATTAGTACCTCTCTCAATTGTATTGAACCTATCTTCGATTGAATTGTACCTATCTTCAATTATTTGAAGATTGCAATTGATTTATTTGAATATATGTTAATTTGGCCATAGATGTATATATATTACATATATTTCCATTTGCTCTGCATTGCCACTAATATAACCTAACCAAACAAAAATAGAAAGATATCAGATCATAATTTTCACATAATTCCCATTGGTGTAGTGATATGACGAACATGTTGGTGATGTCGTTTTGACCGACGTCACAATATTAAGTGTATTATTGTGTAGTTATGTTGTATCACGAACTTAGATAATCTAATTCCGTGGTTGTATAAAAGGTTAATATCCTCACGGTGGAATATAGTGATTAAATAATTAAAATTAAATCGATGATTTTGTGTTTATATGACTTTGAAATGCGATAACAGGTTGGAAATACAATGTAAAATACAATGCATAAGAAAAAATTAAATTAAAAACGGAAATATAATTATTAAACTGTCTTCTTTGGAAAGTTATTGCCATATCTTCTTCTTTTCTTCTTCTTTATTTTACGGGGGCTCCATCATATATCAATCACAGGATTTCAGACAAATTAATCATAACGTGCGTGATTAATTTGTCTGCAATCCTGTGAGAATTTTGCCTATAAAACAATAACTTTCTAAAGAAGTCAGTTTAATGCACGTCTCTGAATAATTGGCGTTCCATGTATTGCAGGGAGTTATGGTTCTTGCTTTCATCACTGTAAACTTTTTAGCCAATCAAAAACGTCGTTGTATGATCTGTAAATATTCGTCATGGCCGGCAGTAAAGCTGCACAGTCGATCAATTCAAGAGAAGAACTGAACGAATTGGTCAGAAGAAGAACAGAAATAGCGGTACATAGAAGCACATCATATCATTTATTATTGTCTTGACGCATGAATAGGTTATTTTTTTTCATATTGATCGAATAATGTAAAAATTCTTTTCATGTGCGCAGATTATCGAAATCAAAGATGGCGGATAATTGACGAAAACATTGTCAAACCGAATAGCCGGTGCATAAAAAAATCGCATTTGCATCGTTTGGGCCAATGTCATTGCAGACACTATATGCATGCGTTTTTGTCCTTAGGTCGAGACTATTATGTATCTCATAATTGCCCTAATACTGTTTAGAACTAGCAAAATATTGAAAATATGTGTAAACCAGAATGGCGCCAAATATGAACGAGAATCGATTAAGATTCTATCTATCTCTCTATCTCTATGTTATACTCCACAGAGGCCAACATGGCTTTAATACGGAAAAAAATAAAATTTTAAATAAGATTTTTTTTTAAGGCGTTAATTATCTACTCAAATATACATCTTAATTTGTATTGGTCGGTACTATCAAAACTTCTCAAAATGATCTCCTCCAAAAACAACACGGATGTGCGCAGAAATCAAGTAAAGAAAACATCGTCACACGGCGACGATTATGTGTACACTAGACTAAATGTGTTAACACGGAAAAATAGTATTGTTGTATTCCCCGTAATGCAATTGAAATTACACCATTTTTGTTTCATTTCACTATTCTTATTTATTTCTTAAATTAAATTAATTATATGTTATAATGTGTGTCGGCGTGAAGAAAATAACGTATTCCGTTTTTTGCTTTACAATGTACTTAAACAACACAAACACATTTTTTTTTAAATAAAACTAATTCTAATGATATGTAAGACTAAGAACACTTAATTTGTGACTTAAAACAAATAATAATACCAAACAATGTCTCGCCTAAAAAAAATGTTTCAGGGCAAAACAACATAGGGCAAATGGGATTTGGGGCGAAACAACCCGGAACCAGTAGTTTGGTCATAAATCCCTCTTCCCTTGTTCTGTAATCCTTCTGGATGAAACGCGCCCCTCTCCGTTGGATGCTTTCCAATTTGTTAATGTTCAAAAGAGACGCCACCATGATAATGTAATTTCAAGACCAGATTTAATTGAAATCCAAGAAATAATTCATGTATGTAAAGTTATTTGAATAATTCTAATCATGTAAAAACAAGTGTTTATATAATTATAGCATCAGTTTACTATGGCCCTGACTAATTAGGCAGTTTGGTAGCCCAAATTGTTTCTGGTCCTAACACTTAAACATTTTGACATATAGATGTCTGGTGTGGGGCCAGAGTACACTGCTTTATGAAAACGTGGAATTCTCAGACATCATTTGGTGAATTCCATTTTTTCATATAGCAGTGCCCTCTGGCCCCAAGTCTGGTGTAAGGGCCAGAGGAAACACAGGTTTGGCATTTGGCAGATAGATGTCGGGAAGGGGCCAGGGCCCAGTATTATATGTAAACTTTTATTATCAATATTGTTAAGTTTAAAGTGCACCTGTGAAGAGCAAATCTTGCAATAATTGAGGCATATATGGTCATTATTCCCAGTCCATGCGAAATACAAATTTTCCTACCGGACATTCGGTCAGGTAACTATCCCAAATTGCAAGCTTGCCAGATATGAACAACTTTTACAGGACATTTCGATCAGGTTAGCTTGAAATACCTACCAGTCCATAAAATTGAAAAATAAATCAACAAAAATTGTTTTATGTGTACAACAACAAAATAAAAACATTAACTGGGTTTAGTTTTGGCTGTGGTTTGCCAGGTTTTTAGCCCAGTCTCGCTGTACTGCACTGAATATTACAGGATCATTTAAATCGCTCAAGTGACATGACTATAGACAACTCTAAGGTAGAAAATGTATGCCAGACATTTGGTCCTGAATTACGATAGCGATTGCTGGACAGGCAATACATTTTACCGGTCATGTCCTTCGGACCAGCATATTTCACATGGACTGCATTCCTTGTAATACCATGGCAGTCACATCCCCTGGCCTACTAAAGAATATACAAAAAACCCCAGTAATACTGCAGTTATTATTTGTTTTCACATGTACACCAAATTTCACTTTCAACCATGTGGTAATGAATAGTTGGCAGCTCTAGATATAGTGATTGTTCCCTAGGCCTCTTGTCATGCATAAGAAATCATAAGGTTAGCTAGTTTATTTTACAAAGAGGTTTATCTCGACATTTAGACTTATATTATATGCCATTAATTAAACTCCTAATTTGATACCTACTAGATGCAAATATTTCAATTTTGTATAATGTGGCATATTAAAACATACTTTCTCTCTATATAGGACACTCTTGCCAATTTAGAAAGACAGATCTACGCTTTTGAAGGAAGTTATCTTGAAGACACACAGTTGTATGGAAACATAATTCGTGGATGGGATCGTTACCTGGCAAATACCAAGTAAGAGACAAGAGCAGGATGCTATATATGTAATAAATTTCTGTAGTGAAATTGTTTCTATTTTAATCTCTTTCCTGGATTCAGTATGTGTAAATGCTTCATAAATAGTCACCTGTAGTTAACTATCAATGCTGTGTACCATCTTACCTACAATGAAGTTGAATCTTGTCATTATAAATCAAATAATTGGGATCATCACAAAAGATAGTTGAAGAGGAGATAATAAAATCTGCAATTTACCATTTTTTTCTTGTATCATTCCTATAGCTATGCAGAACAAATAGTGTTTGATTTAATCAAATGCATTTTAATATGAATAACATCATAAGATATCTTGTGTATTTCAATTCCATACATGAAACCTTTCAAACCATTTTTTGAAAAATCTGTTGGTCAAAAAAGGTGTTTTTCGTGTCAAAATAAGAGGATACAGTTTTGAACATACAGTTACTTAACATAAATAGAACAGAGGTACAGACTGAGTTGGACAGAAATGGTAACTATAGACTAAGAAACATTTGGGACAGTTGGAATGATCAGACAATAAACACGCTGTTTTCAAAGCCAAGTTTTTAAAATAATTGTTCTTGTTTGCTAAATTCAAATCTTTTGTAAAAGTCTTGGCTGTTTGAATAATGACTTTAATATCCAGTATTCCAAAATTTCATTTAAGACCTGATTTAAAAGTATTGCAATTTTTTCTTCAGAAACACAAACAGTAAAGCTGACAAAAGGAACAGAAAATTTAAGGAAGCAGACCGGTTGTTCTCAAAGTCTTCTGTCACTTCTGCTGCTGTAAGTAATGGTTCAATTTAAATGTGATATGATCATTCAAGATCCAAAGAATTTCAATTTTACTTGTATCCGTCTATCGTAGAATTCATTTTAAGGTGGCTCCACACTTTCGTAATTAACCAGCAAAATTCGTTGAAACTCTCATATAATGGTTATGCAACTATGTAGAGTTGATTTATGAAAATCTAAACACTCCGATAGTTTGGGGACTTTTTTGGAAAAATACCAAAAAATTGAATTTTCGTCAATTTTAATATTTTCCGTTTTTTTTGTGTGTGTGACATTGTTCGGAACAATAACAACAATAATAAAATGAAAAGAAGCATTTCTAATTAACCCTACAAATATTTTATTTATCGCAAAATATGTAACACATGTTACACAAAGTGTTTTTCATTGAATTTGAACGGATAAAAGTGATTATCTACAAGCTAAAAGCCAACAGGACACAAAGATCTATACATATAGAATGGGAAATTGAACAAAATACACACAATGGCTTTATATTTAATTTATTTTACATTTTACAATCACTTCGATCCGGGTAAGAGTTATCTTCCTTGAAAAAAATCGGAACTTTTTGCAGAGGGGTGACATTTACACCATGACAGTTGTCCGTGTTTACATATAACAAAAGTGATGGAAATAAATCAAAAATATGATATCAAAATTATCAATTTATTGTTCTTTAATGGAACCAAATTACCCTCAGTCATGTACACTTTGGACATCATTCCACAGTCCGCTAACTCACGGTATGTTTATAATTACATGTCAGGTACATATGTGACCAGAGGCTATCGCAT